TAGTTATCTGTATCTCGCGTTGTATAAGTCCGATCGGGTTCCACTAGATGGCGTTAGAAAGATGAGATTTCGTACTAAAAAAACTTTTCTGACAGTTTTGTGATTAGTTGACTCAGTTTCGTTTGAGCGCGCGTCAAAGATGGACACTAGCAAAGAGAAAATACGCTATATTTTACAGTTTTTCTTCGATAAAGACGAAAACGCAAGCCAGGTGGCTAAAAATGTGAATAGTGTTTATGGTCCTGATACTGTAACAGCTAATCACGCGCAATTTTGGTTTCATCGATTCCGTTCCGGTAATTTCGATGTCAAAGATGCACCACGCGCTGGAAGGCCAATTGTCGAAAATATCGATAAAATCATGGACATTGTCGAGTCCGACCGTCATGTAAGCACTGTTTCGATTGCCCAAGAGCTAAAGATTGCACAAAAAACCGTTTGGAACCATTTGAATAAGGCTGGATACAAAAAGAAGCTCGATGTATGGGTGCCACACGAGTTAACGAAAAAAGATCTCATGGACCGAATTTCCATCTGCGAATCGCTGCTGAATCGCAACAAAATCGACCCATTTCTGAAGCGGTTGGTCACTGGTGATGAAAAGTGGATCACTTACGACAACGTCAAGCGAAAACGGTCGTGGTCGAATCGCGGTGAGCCGGCGGAAACAGTGGCCAAGCCAGGATTGACGGCCAGGAAGGTTTTGCTGTGTGTTTGGTGGGATTGGCAGGGAATTATCTACTATGAGCTGCTCCCCTACGGCAAAACTCTTAACTCGGAACTGTACTGTCAACAATTGGACCGTCTGAAGGAAGCAATCGCCCAGAAGCGGCCAGCTTTGGCCAATAGGAGAGGAATTGTGTTCCATCAGGACAACGCCAGGTCACACACATCGATAGTGACTCGCCAGAAGCTCCGGGAGCTTGGTTGGGAGGTTCTTATGCATCCACCTTATAGTCCGGACCTGGCACCAAGTGATTACCATCTGTTCCTGCCCATGGCGAACAATTTTGCTGGTGAAAAATTCGCTTCAAGAGAGGCTTGTGAAAATCGACTGTCTCAACTTTTTGCCAATAGGAATGAGGGCTTCTATGAGAGAGGCATAATGAAATTACCTTCAAAATGGCAACAAGTTATCGAACAAAACGGCGCATATTTGACCTAAATCGGATCATTCTAATTATGGTAATTAAAGCCTTCAATTTCATGCAAAAATAATGGATTTCTTTTTACTACACCTAATATTACGTCACGGTTGGTATTGTTGAATGTATCAGTAGCACGACTTTTTTGTAAACTCTTGCATCTGATTGGTGTATATTTAAAAATCTAAACGAATATGCCAATGGGTGCATTCAATACTACATATGTGGACGTCGGCAACGGCGGGAACCACGCACGCCGACGCTCTCGCCCACAAGAGGGTCGAAAAGTTTTTAGAGATTAATTCCAGGGGAACACGCGCACCCGTGTCCCTGATTGTGTGATCCACCGCGTTAGGCCGCACTACGAGAGTTCCTCGAGACGCGGACAATAATCTGACCAGAATAGACATGCAAAAGAAAACTTTATTATCACGTGCCTAACAACACCAGCACGTTCGCAGCACTAACCGAACGCACGCAGGAAACGCGTGCGATGGCACGCTCGCAAAAACAAGAAACGCTCGCAATAACAAGAAACGCTCGCAGGGACGATACACACATGAACACGCTGACAGCGCGACGCGAAGGGCGCGCGCGTGGGACGAACGCGGCGCGAACGGTACGCGCGAAACGAGCGTGGCGCGAAGGGCGCGTATACGGGACGGAAAACGCACCCGCGGTAAAGCACGCTGAGCTGCACTCGCGGAAACAGCTGCACGCGGAGGTGCACTCGCGGCAAAGCGCGCTCGCGAAAGCGGCGAGCCCCGCTGACACGGATATAGCGCGAGACGGACCAGGGGGTGCAAACTCGCCTCTTAAAAAATGGGTGACGCATTTCAGCGCCACCACGGTGCGTACCCAGGAAAGGGCCGAACTAAAATGAGTGACGTCACGAGGAGCAGGGATACCCGCTATATTCGAATCAGTCGCGTATGTATGAGTACGTGTGTATGTCTGTTGTGTGTGTGTGTGTGTGTGTGTGTACATGTTATATGTGTGTGTATATGTTATGTGTGCGCGTATATATTGCGTATATGTGTCTCACGCGTTGCGTGTCGTATATGTGTACGCTCGTGTACATTGAATGATGTAAGAAGTTGTTTGAGATATTTTCGGTAAGATTTGTATTTTTGTGTTGTTAACATGTGTTATTTTTTATGTTATTATCATTTTATGAAAGTTAAAAGTGATTATAATCTACCGTCACTTTTCATTTCCGTACAATGATAATGATATAAAATATGACATGTTAAAACCTAAAAAAATAATTTTACCCAAAAAATTTGAAATTGCTTCTTACACAATCCAATACGCACAAGCGTACACACATACGACATTCATTTCATTACAAACAAATATACAAATATTTATTATACAATAGATGTGTATACATATATTATATATAATGACATACATACTACATGGGCTGAAAAGTCTTTGGCCTGACATATAGATGGCGCCACAAACTAAAAATCCTTATATTTCCTATAGAGTACCAACCTTAACTTAGATGCTGTAAAAATTTCATGATATTTCGTTGACTCGCGTACAAGTTATAGCTTTCGAAGTGACGTTATCTCTGAATTTATCTTTACTATGGAAAAAAGTGAATTTCGTGTTTTGATTAAACATTGCTTCCTGATGGGAAAAAACATTGTTGAAGCAAAGGCATGGCTTGATAAATGTTACAGCACATCTGCCCCACTGAATTCAACCATCAAATATTGGTTTGCTGAGTTTCGTCGTAACCGTACGAGCACAAATGATGCACCACGTTCAGGAAGGCCAAATGAGGCAGTTACTCCAGAAAACATCCAGAAAATCAGTGAAATCGTGTTGAATGACCGCAAAATGAAATTGAATGAGCTAGCTAACATCATAGACATCTCAAAGGAACGCGTTGGTCATATCATTCATGAATATTTACACATGAAAAAGCTTTGCGCGCGTTGGGTGCCGCGTTTTTTGACAATTGAGCAAAAAGCGGAACGTGTTCGACTTTCAAAGCAAAATCTGGCCCTGTTTAACCGCAATAAGAAGGAGTTTTTGCGTCGATTTGTCACAATGGATGAAACATGGATCCATCATTACACACCGGAGTCCAATCGGCAGTCAGCGGAGTGGTTATTGCCTGGTGAAAGCCGTCCGAAGCGCCCGAAGACACAACAATCAGCCGGCAAGGTTTTGGCCAGTATTTTTTGGGATGCGCATAACATAATATTCATTGATTATCTTGAACATGGTAAAACTATCAATAAAGAATATTACTGTACATTACTGGATCGATTGGACGACGAGGTCAAGGTCAAACGGCCACATTTGGCAAAGAAAAAAATTTTGTTTCACCAAGACAATGCTCCAGCTCATTCGGCTCGCGATACGACCGATAAATTAAAGAAATTGCGCTATGAATTGGTCCCGCATCCCCCGTATTCTCCAGACTGGCCCCCAGCGATTATTTCCTTTTTCCCCGACTGAAGCAGTGGCTCGCTGGTAAAAGATTTTACTCGAATGAGGAGGTTAAGTTGCCAAACAAATGCCTATTTTGAGGGACTTGACACCGAGCACTATAAGACCGGCATCGAAATGTTAACGGACCGTTACACTAAGTGCATTACTCTAAATAGAAATTATGTCGAGGAATAAAACACTTTTTTCATTAAAAAAATCGTTTTTTCATTGCTAAGCCAGACTTTTCAGCCCATGTAGTATATTAATAACATATTATACATAACTTATAATGCGCGCATAACTTATAAAAATTATATAATAAATATATACAATATATTTTGCTGTAACACAATTATAATGAATAAAGTGGTAAAGTCACATTTTTTACATGCTTAGCTTTATTTATATAAATAGTATAAATTATTGTGAAGGGTTATAATATTAATAAAAAAAGTTTAATTTTTATATAATAAAGAAGCATCAAAGTTTTTCCGTCCCACTTACAGACTGCGGGCTGTCAGGAACACATTTTTAGTGTATCTGGTGTGGTTAAAAAATTTTGATGTTAAAGATACGATCGGGGAGACGCAATAGCGCTCTTAGCGTCATTCTATCTTTATTGTTCATTAGATGTACAAGAATAGAATGATGCTGATAGTTCTAATAGTCTCCTTGAACGCAGCCTAAAATCACCAGCATCAATAAATATCCATCCACACTACAAAAATATACAAACAGTATATAAATGTGATAATAATTTTACGTGTAATATAATGATACGCTATAACATAACAAATGAAGATGTGTCACAGTTTAACAATACATCTATACATACATAAAATCATACAATCCATTCAAGGACAACTCTCTCCGCCGAAGAGCAATACTTCGTCTCTCGTCCTCAGGGCATGCCTTCCGTATAAAAAGCATGGCTTCCTGAGTTGGAGGTTGGAGTAGTGTCCATCATTCATTCTCCTAAATATTCTTCTCAGATGCTATCTGTCCGGCGCTAGGCTAAGGACGTCACATCTTTCCTCCAGTCTCATCCCCTCCTCTACCGACCTGAAGGCATGCCTTCCCGATCTGTTAGAGAAAGGGAAAATATGACTGCTTCAGACAGATGAGCCAGAGTAGAAGAATCCTACCTGTCCCATTCGCTAAACTAAGCACTCACACCCTAACATACATATAATACAAAAAATATTATATTACATTATATATTGAAAATAATTTGATAATGAAATGAATTGAAAAATATTAATTAAAAAATAATAAATATTAACAATATCTATTTCTATTTTGAATGGACTCTTTATACGCTTGTAACATCTCTTTTCTTTTCAATTTATTTTCTTTAAATAACGCACGCATCCGTTTATTTTGTTTTATATTAATTTTTACATCGCGCATTAAGGAATTAATATTAGTGTTTTTTAACATAAAATTTTTGTCTCTACACCACCAAATAATACATTGAACAATAATTACGTGAATCATAATATCAAATATTTTACCACTATGCTCAATACACTCATGCCAACTCATATTCCTATCCCATTCTTTAAAATGTTGTATAAAATTTTGCTCAATGTTTCGCCTATTACTTCTTGTTTTTAACAATTTAAAAATTCGATTGACTATTTGTTTCGCGCAAACAAAAAATTCACTATTTTTGAAACATGATTCGCATTCCGAGCAATTGTTAAGTTTTTTTAGAATTGAAATTATCATTACGCGAGAATAATCTGAAATTGACACGGAAATACTATTATCTACTGTATTATTCGATACAAAATCATGCACTTCATCATCGCCGTTGTCATTGCGAGCGACATCATGCACTTCCATGTCTGAAAAGTCACCTTTCAAACACTCTTCTAATGATAACAACAGAGTTATCATCAACGGCCACGCAATTATCGCCAACTATAGATACTGACTTCATGTTGCTTAGTAATAGAGTGATATACGACTCTTCAAACTGTGAAGGAGTTGGGTTAATATGACGAACTGCATGACTTCTAATTTGACCAAAAAAATTTTCTAGCGGATCTTGATTACAATATCGAGCATTTAATTTATGAAAACCAAATTGTGAATGTAAAATATCTCATAATTTTTGAAACCCGTCTATAGTGAATTTCCAGTTTGTAACAGTTGGCACATTCTTAATAATTTAACGTGAAATCTTATCTACATATTTCATTTCGCGTAATATTTTGCACTTACCCAGAAAACATGATGAACACTTGTTTCACTCATCGCTTGTCGCAGGTCATTGTCTTCAACACACTCTTTATCACTTCCATTCACACTGTCAAATAAGTCGTTGAAAAAGTTAACACTTTCCGCAAGTCCTTCGTTTTCCTCTATTTTTAAGTCCTTGTCTTCGTGGCGAACAACATCTATAACATACATTTTTATGTTAGATAAATAATTGTGTCATCTGTTGCAAAGATCAACAATTTTCTCTAAGTAATTTTTTAACGCCATATGTAACTTATTTTGCTATAAAATGGATTATATTTTACATAAATAAAAGACATATATATTTCAATGTTAAAAAAGATTGATAATATACGTTTTAGGGCCAATTTTTGCAATCTCCGGGTAGTCTTAACTATCGATAATTTATCGGTAAATTAATCGTGATCGTCGACCAACCGTGATTAGTAAGTAATGATCAACGATAAATACGATTGGTCAATTCCATTAGAATAACCGGTAATTAAAGTTAACCGGAGATTATGAAAATTGCCCTTAAACTTCTTATTTATCTGTATTTTCTAACATAATAATATTTACAATTTGATGTGGCCAATGTTTCAATGCAGCTTGCCATTGTACCACTTAACACTTGAACGGCATATTTTACACGCATTTTCTTTATTTTATCCTTCTAATGTGCTCACATTTAATTTTTTTTAATTGCGGTCGAATTTTGTGTGTCTCTCTGTCCATAATCCACGCAGTCTTAATTATGTCCCACGATGCAATTTTCGCTGGTACGCTATTCTCGCAGCTCATCGCTAGGTCCTTTGTTAATAAGTTATTCCTCACGCCTTTGATGAGATGTGGTCCGTCATATAAGGGAACAATTACATATTGCCTCACTTCAAACGTTTGACCTTTTACAAAAGAAATGAATATCAATTAATTATTTACATACACTGTTATAAAAATATCATTTTACTTATTGTTATTGCTTACTCTGAGTTCCTTCAGAAGACTTGCGTTTCATGTCCGTGCGCAGTAGCAGTTCCTTTATTGCAGCCATGTTCGAAGATCCCTGGTCACAAACTGTTGCAACGATGTGAAAGCCTAGATCGTTTATTTTGGAAACACGTTCTTTAATACAACGCACTAATTGCGCTGTATTTGTTTGTTTGCAACAAAAATTATAAGAAATGGGCATCTTCCAGCCCATGTATAATCCGCGAAGCATAAATACCAAAACGTGATCAGCCATCTTTCCGGTGCGATTATTGCCCCAATCCTCAAGTCCACATATGATATGATATCCTTACGGTTATCATATGTGATCTTGGGTTGAATAGATACCTCGTCCCACATAAGAATGCACACTTTATTTTTCACTGACATCTTTGGAGCTATAGATTCCAAATGTCTCAAAATAAAAGTGTTCAAACCTGCGGAGACTGTATTTTCTGAAGCGCTAAATGCAACGTTCGAATTGATGGCATATATGAAAAAATTTGATGTAAATAAGAATACGCGCGCTTTCCCATCGTTTTATACAGCGTCAACATCAGGGCCTTCTATTGGCTGCCATAGCGATGACCCTACATAAAAATTACAATTACATTGTTATGTTTTACATAATGTTGTGCATGATATTATTTTGTTACATAGTGATAATATCATGCACAACTTGTACGCACATATTACATAAACATAATTTCTAAGCATATTCTATGTTTTATTTAGCACAAGCAAGATATTGATAATAAATAGAAGCGCCATCGAGAAGAATTGTGTCCATTATGCTGCTTTATTTTTTATTGTAAGGAGAAATATGGTAGTTTTAAAATTATATATCAGGAACACACACCATTTTTTATATACAATGTTAGATTTATTTATGTATATTTTCATTAAAACAGCAAGTGCTAACCTTCACTTAACATGCATTTTGTTTTCTTGCTTAAAAAAGTGCAAGGTCTTCCTCACCCAAGTAGTTGCCCAAGGATTTATTATTTATTTAATATAATGCAAAAATCAATTTGTAATATAAATAATATTTACTCTGTATCGCATAATTTTTTTAAAGACAATTGTAATATCAAATCTGAACACATGCACATGTAATCCTTTATTTATAAATTTTCATAAACAAAATTACATATATATACATAATCTGCTCAGATTAGCCAATAGAGCAATAACTGCAAGTTTTTTGCAATAAGCAAATGACACACACACACACAAACACACACTAAACATACACACAGAGGAGAGAAATACGATTTTTTTCATTTTTTACAAATATAGTTTTTTGATACAGTCTGCCCATATTATGTACATGATCATAGAAGGAAAAAGATTACTCTGTTAAGAATTGAAATATAAAAAATAATGTTAATGCCATATTAAAATTAAGAGGTAGCATAAAGTAATGCTTAAAGATTAAGAAATTGAATGCAAAAATCACGAACAAAATTCACACCATGCTAAATTATGGTAATACTTACATATTGTACAGTTTCGTCTTTATCAATATTACATATCACATGGGTTACTTGTTCTTTTTTTGAAACTATATTATTGGTTTCTCCAGTATGCAACATATGCTCCTAAAACAATAGAAATGTTATCAATATTTCAGATATGTTAAACTTTTCTTTCATGAATATTTCACGTCATAATAATCACGTCAATAATAAAACAATAAGAAAAATATACTTCACATATATTTTCTTCAGCTCATTGCTCAGTAAGCCCTTTTGAAAAATAATTATCTTCAAAGTATCACGTGGTATTTACATGCACATAAATCCACTCGCACTAATGTAAATATAATTATGTACAAATGAAGAAATACATGGCAACAATATTTGTATGTTGTGGAATAGTAAGTAATGTATTAAAAATAAAGAAAGAAAAGAAGCATAAAAAATTTGGAAAAATATGTTGTATATGAGGAATTGTCAAAGTACTCATATCTGTTTATGCTCATAGAATACAGATATTTATTTATTAGCAAAATTCAACTGTGTCTTATCATACTGCATTGTGGCAGCATTTACACAAGAGAAAGCGATTAATCACAAAAGAAAAAAGTAGTAGAATCGATACTTGCAAACATCTAACGATCAATTTAAATGTAAACGCGTGTTATTGCAATTACCACTGTCAACAACATTCATGTATAAAAAGAAAAAATTCGCAGCAAAAATTATGTAAAGATAATTATTAAATTTGGTTGCATAAAGTAAAGAAATTAATTGGTCTGTTCTTTATAGTTACACTGCTGAACTGGTGCAACAAACTAGAGTGAGAAAACCTATATTTGTCTCACTTTAACTCATTGCACCAGTTCAACAGTGCAGCTACAAAGAACAGACCAAATATATTCTATATTCCTATGCTATAAAAAATATGCATAACTTCTCACTATTGACAAAAGAAATAACACGTTAACAAATAAAAACTAATTTTAATGAGGAACAATAGTACTATAAGAAGTCGTTTGTCTCAATGTAAGGAAAAAATTTGCTTTCTCTGATTCATTTATATAAAATAAAAAAACATTCATTTATAAAAATTGTTAAAATCATATTTTTTAACTATTGTACTCTATTTTTCTCAAAAATATAACATGAAAGACAATTTCAGTGATCACGTATGTATTACGTCCTAGAGGAGGAACGCAACCTTTTCGTTCGCGAATAAGGCGAACCTCGTTCGTACACGCGTGTCAGTGAACGGGTCAGGGACCCGACGGGTCCCTTTACTCGGGCACCGACGTACGACGAGCGGTCCGTTTTTCGGTCAGGGACGCGAATCCCTTTACCGGGAATAGGACCATGAGTTGACTGTTGGAAGGGCGGGTGTGATTTTGAAATCAATTGGAAAAAAAGGATGAAATATAAACAGATTTATTAAAATGAGTAAGATAACAAAATGATATATGGCGCGGCTTAAAATATAACAATAAAATGGTATTACGGCGCGGTTTATGACAATTTAATTGAATAATGGTGTGTGTATATATGTGTGTGTGTGTGTGTGTGTGAGATAGAAGAAGAAGGAATGGAAAGAGAAGGAATAGGAATAAGAAGTTAATCAGATAAAGGGGAACGGGAGTGGTATGGCGAATTTAAAGGAGTGGATAGTTCGGAAAAAGAGACAGGAAAATAAGATATTGGAGGGGTTGGAGGAGTGGATGCACGTGGGGGAGAAAAGGTAGGAGTATCAGGGGATAAATATTGAGAAAATAAGAAAGAAGGTAGGATTGTCGGATCTGGATGGAAATCTATGTCTAATCCGATGCTAATTATGTTTCTGATATACTGCAATTGTTGCTCAAAATTATATGGGTCTGTTATTTCATCAAAGAGATGGAGGACCCGATGGAAGGTTACTAGCGAATGATAATAATGGCCCACTAAAACCGTAGTTTCACAAGGGTGGAATTAGTAAGAATGGAGGTAAGGAGAGTAGAATAGTAAATAAAACTACTTGCTGCTGATTCACGCAAGGAAAGGGGTGGTTGAAATTATCTGCGTGGGGTCCCAATTTCGAGTTGTCCACTCCCAGCTGGCAGCTGCTTCTCTCTTTTTTTTTGGAAGGTTGGCGAGACCCCACTAAGGATAGTATTCGTGGAACACTGTGCACTTGCCACACTTGAGTCTCTGAATTGAGTCTAGACCTGATTCCGAATCTGACTATGACTTTTTTGTTTTCGTTTGTTCTTCTATCTTTCTGAATAGTGTCGCGGAGGTGGATTACCGCGGTTTTTATATCAATGATCGGAGGCAGAAGCTATCAGGGTGGGTAGAGGAATGGCCCTTTTAGGGAGGGGTGAAGCCCTAAGGAGAACCCAATGAAGTTAAAGATTTTGTTACTAATTTTTATTATTGGTCCTGGTTGACAGTAGTGGGAAAAAGTCTTAGCCATTAGCGAAGTTAAAGACATCGTGGGAGGAGACAGTTAGTTTTTGGAGATATGAATATGGAAGGGCTAAAGGGTGGAGCGTGAGTGTCTCATAGTTTTAGGTGGATATGATATGATTGGCTGAATGAATTAGGCGCGACAAGCGTGGAGGTGGTGGATTCTTGAGATAGAGAAATGTATACAAGCGGCCGGCTGGAAAAATCAAAATGCTGTAAATCAAAGCCTGAGATAAGAGTTTATAACCATCGGTGTAAGCTCGAAGTAGGCTTTGTTGGTTAACTGATAGGGCACATATGGTTTTGGATTGGGAAGATGTGAGTTTCAAGTTTTAGAGCAGGAATGCTCTGAGTTGCTTTGTTTTACTGAAGGTTTGTTAGCGCGGAGTTTCAAATTTTTATAGCTAGGACGACGGACACACTTGGCGAACACTACCCAGATATAAACTTTAAACGAAGACGTAGATTTTTACAACAGGGCACTGTTTCCTGTTATGGAATTTTCCCGAATCGCCTTTCATTTGGCGCGACGGCTGTTCGCCAGATGGGTCTGTTTCCTAATTTATATTTATATATGTATATATTCCTATTATAGTTATATTAGGAGAATATAAATCCGCGAGGAGAGAGAATTTTTGCTAATTAAATCTACAGGACGTAACATATGGATTCATATACAATTACATAAAAGACCATCAATTTAATATCAATATATATATTGTAACGGCCGAACTCCGCGGTTCGGTCGCTGCTACGCGTTTCGCGCAGATAAGGCTCGTCGGAGTCCGGATTCGGTGAGGAGGAAAGCAGCGAGACGTTCGAGAGTAATATAAGTACGTTAGCTTTATTCTATATTTAATTTGATACAAGAGTTCGGCCCCGAAGGCGATGTCGCGGGTTGCGTTTGTAAGGCGCGTCGGTACGGTACGGTGCGGTGCGGTGAGCGGTGCGAGCGCTCGTACAGACGGATAGGCCGTGCGGAAGGCGGGGCCTATTATGCGACGCGTGTAGATCGTAACGACGGTAACGGCGCGGTGATCGGTCTCGCTTCGCGACGCTGGGCGTCTCGGACAATTATCGCCCAATACTCGCTTCGGAATTGCTCGCGTAAAAATGGTCGCCGGACCGGAGATTTCGATTCTCGGTCGAACGCACGCACGCGAGTCGCGGGAGACGCGAGATGATTTCGTCCGTCGGGGCCGAGGACTCTCGACAGAGAAGGCGGACGCACCTTCCCTTTTCCCTACGTTCGTGGAGGAAAGCGACCAAGTGCTGCGGACACTCAGCGGAGACGGCGAACACACCGTCCCGGGTTCCTGGTCGCTAGACGGATCGCCTAAAGGTTGAGTACGCTCAGCGGAGTTCGCCGACGGACGAACCCCTGACTCGAGGCGGCGGGTAAAGGCGAGATACTGTCGAGTACGCTCGACTGAGCACGCGTACACACGAGCCCAGGAAGACGGGAGACGGCCAAGTATCGAGAACGCTCGATCGAGACTGCGGACGCACAATCCCGTGTTCTTAGTCGCCGGTCGGGTAGTCGGAAAGCGGAAGGCAGAGCGAAACGGTCCGGATATTCTCTCTTTCGGCATACAAGCGTCTAGATCGAATCGGCGGTACGGATCGGTCTGGTGTCTAGGAGCTCGATCGCCGCCGTTTTATAGTTGTTCGCGCTACGATTGATACGGCGGCGATCGAGCGGCGCGCCTATCGGCGCGAGGCATGATGACGGCGCGTGATCGCGGCCGCGCGCGCTAGCGGCAGCGCGGGATCGCCGCGGCGCGCGATAGCGGCGGCCTCGTGATAACGGCGGCGCGATCGTCTTCGCTAATTTATGGTGGCGCAAAGCGCCGTTCTTCGGCCCGACAGGTGGTCGGTCGGGCCGGTAGTAACGAGGTGCATCTGCGCCTCGTTACAATATATATGTATATTCAAAACTGCATAATTTTAAAATCAAGATATTAATTATAAATATATGTTTTACATAAACAAAATAATATTTAAAGCAAATAAGATTAGAGAATAAGAAGAATAAAATATGTATACATATATATATATACACATATACTTTAAGTCTTATTTACTTTAAATGTTATTTTGTTTATGTAAAACATATATTTATAATTAATATCTTATATATATATGTGTATATTGCAATTGCTAATAATTCGAAGTCCCTTTTAGCATAATACAATTAATATTACATATTAAATCAATTAAGCAAATAAAAATATATTTGTACATAAAAGGAAAAATGCCAAGTAGCAACATATGTATTGAATTTGTACATTCTCATGTACTGAATTTGTACATTCTCATTACTTTTAACCTTAAATAGCAATAATTACACTTTTAAGCAAGATATATACTTACGTGTTGCATGCACATATATTTATAACTAAAAGTTTCAATATTTGTATTTTAAGAAATTAATAAAATGTACTGATTTAGATGCATTTTGCTACTGATATTTTTATACACAGTAAAAAATGCATTAATATTGTCATTCATACATATGCTTTACGTGTATTGTTTCTTTGATTTAATGTCTATAAATATATAAATAATTAGAAAAAGTAGTTAAATTATCACATTTTCTGTAAATTCATATACTTATTAATCACTTGCGCTGGCAAAAAATTCACTGACGCGTGTACCAGAACGGTCCAGTGTAACTCGCTGAGAGGCGTCACACAGTGTTCGATGCCTTACAGAAATCGGAAAAAGATTTATATTTTCTAAACTAATTTATTTTCGACCTAGGACTTTTAATAGCTTTTTGAAGGGAACATAGAGCGTCGATTGATTATAAAATTATACAAATATAAATATTTAATTTATTTATTAATAATCATGCAAAGTGTGGTATCTCTCGAAATAGTCTGGATCGTCGTTGGCGATTCTGTGACAATCGCATGACGACGTGCGCACGTCTTTCCAGCGCAAGTGGTTAACAACATTAACACAAAGAAAACTAAGTGTACATATATACTCATAATTGTATACAAATTAACATACAAAACATACCTGTGGTGCATGTTTGGCATTTATTATCAGCATTTCGAAGAATAATTTCTGCGTTGTTGTCATGTCCTCCATTACGTCTTCCCACTTATTCCTTCGACGGATCCTGTGGATTTCTTGACGTTGTCTTCTAATAATGTTTTTCTTCTTATGCAGCATCTTCCTTTGGGTCCTTAATTTTCTTTTCAGTCCTTCATTGTTGGTATTTCTTGATATATCTACATCTTTGCCTATGTTCATGGGCACTGGCACAAAGTTAGAGATGTTCGGAACATATTCTATTAAGTGAACATGATCTTCCAAATTATTAATAACATAAACATTCTGTTCTACATAACAAGAATTTAATTTTAATGATGGTACTGCGTTATCGTTCAAACGTCGTATTGGACCATAAGGCAATACCATCTCTTCAGAGAAATGTTCCGTACAAATTCTCAACTTTGCCAGCACTTCTTTTGGTGCATCTGTAATATTAATAATAATTAATATTACGTACTGTTATATCATTGCATGATAATAAATAGTAAACAAGAAGTAAGATAATGACCGTAACAAGTAAAACACAAAATAAATTGCTTTTTTTGCTCAACGTAAATAATGCTACATGTTAATCATATTATGACTATATACAGGGTGTTTGATAGCTGATCATGTAGACGAAAGTTGGAGATAGATTGGGTGTAGCCGAGAAGAAAAGTCATGTACCATAATGTCAAATTGGCAATAGTTACCGAGTTATTAATTAAAACATGTGAGCCAACGAGCGCGTAGAGAACGGAGGGCTACCGCAGTAAGCACGTAGACATTTGATACAGGCGGAGTCAGCGAGTGGCGGTAGGCAAGCGCGCGCGGCGAGGAGCAACGTAAGCGACAAGAGGCGATCGCGCGCGACGAGGAGCGAGCGAGCTTTTTCTTTATAGCTTTTTCCTTATAGCTCGCTCAACTCCTCGTCATTTGCGCTCGCTCGCTCTTCGTCGCGCTCGCTCGCCTCTTGTCGCTTGCGCTCGCTCGCTCCTCATCGTTCGCGCTCGCTCGCTCCTCATCGCGCGCACTCGCCTCTTGTCGTTTACGTTGCTCCTCGCCACGCGCGCTTGCCTACCGCCACTCGCTGACTCCGCCTGTATCAAATGTCTACGTGCTTACTGCGGTCGCCCTCCGCTCTCTACGCGCTCGTTGGCTCACATGTTTTAATTAATAACTCGATAACTATTGGCAATTTGACATTGTGGTACATGACTTTTCTTTTCAGCTACACCCAATCTATCTCCAATTTTCGTCTGCATGATCAGCTATCAAACACCCTGTATATGACTATATTATTATGATTATACTATTTTATCTATTTCTGTTCATTACTCACCGATCAATTCGGTTTTGCCAATGATTGTTAACCAGTGTTCAGCTCTGGAGCGACCCATGGGGAATCGATGGACTGGTACTGCTGTCTTAGATGTGCACTGTGGCACACAGCATTTCCAAACCATCTTGATGTTCCTAAAATTTCAAAACTTTATTATAATTTAAGCACTTACCTTGTAATAAATTATTTAATAATAAAAGAAATATTACTATCTTAAAAATCTAAACTTATTACTAATGTTATTAAATAATTGTTAATAAGAAAAAACTTAATAATAATATATATATGTATTTTTAAATATTTAATATAATATAAATAAAAGTATCTGTTCTCGTTTTCTGCAGAAGTCAGCACAAGTTCTCAAGAGATCTCTTGTATACATGTGTGTACGTGTATGTCAATATGTGGAGGTCGAGGGGACTCCCGCTCGACTCGGCCTTTCAACCCCGCACAGCAAGGAAGTGAGAGATAGATTTGCAGGGGCGCGGCACCCGTGCCCTGGTTGATTGTGTTCTCCTCGCGGCGCTCGAGGACAGACTTCGAGGGCCCTCAATGAGCCGACTCGAAAGACAGAAAAATATTAACTTTATTGCTTACAATTGGCCCTCGCATGGGGCGCGTGCGCTCGAGAACAGAAAGGAAACGGAAACGCAATGAACGCACGCTCGCTATAACGCAGAAATGCTTGCTCGCGAAGACGCAGAATGCTTGCTCGCGAAGTCGCGGAATGCTAGCTCGCGACGCGCGCAGGAGACGCGCGGAGGCTGTTCCGACGAAGCACGCAGCGAAGAAAACCGTCGGAATCCGCGAGAGGAACGTCCGCACACGCGACGAGAGCCGGAAGAGAAAAAGGACCGTACGTCCGTGTCGCCACGCAGGACGCACGTGACGCTCGCACGAACACAAGACCTCGCAGCGGTCACTCCGAGGTCGACACGCACAACGCGCGGCAGCGCACGTGGGAACTACGACCGCGCACGTGACGCTCGCACGAACATAAGACCTCGCAGCGGTCGCGCCGAGGTCGACACGCACAACGCGCGGCAGTGCACGTGTACACCACGACTGCGCACGTGAACACACGGGGCGCGAGGCCGTCGATCGGGCCGCGCAAGAGCGACCGCGTGATCGCAAGAGCCGCTTGCCCAAGGGCGCGCGCTCGAATCACGCACAAACGAAAAAAACTCTCCGACACGAGAGGCGGCCGCGTGGCGCCCGCGATGCGAAACAAACGCACAGCGCGAGAGAACAGAACCCGCGCTGCGAATGAGTAGCGAGTTGCACTGCACTAAGGCGCGGAAGCCCGAAGACGGCCGGCGGCGCGTTCTGTCCGTCGAGAAGCACGCGGAGGCACGTCACGCGCACATGTCTCACCTGAGAGAGATTCTTACGCACACTTCAAATACGCACTCTCGCTCTTGGGAGAGACACTCTCGCACTGGAAGCACTCACGTGGCACGAGCGACTGTTTGCGCTGCCTCCGGGGCGGCAGCGGGTCCGCGCTCTCTGCGGCAGGTGGCGGGAGCTGATCTTCCGCTACAAATATGGCGAGCGATATATGTGTGGGAGCGATCGCACTGCCCTCGGCCTGTGTACCCATGTCCGGAGTGAACTAATGCCTCTTCCGTCACCCGCTAAATAGCGGGAGTCTGGATACCCTGAGATGGACTCACCGAGAGGCAGCGACCCACAGCAACGGCGGATCGGCGGCGCAGGCGTGGAAAGGGTGAGTGGCGACGGAGGGGCGGCTCGGCTGACCCCTGGGTCCCGAGCCTAACTCGGCCCGAAACGCGCGCCTGCACGTGGTGTCGGCGACGTGAAGCACGAGGCGCGCGGCAAGAAAGCGAGGAAACGCACACATGTTGAGAACAACTGTGTCGACCGCGAAGCGAAACGAGGCACTCGCGTTGAGAACGACTGTCTCAAGCGGCGAAACGAAAAGCAACTCTCGTTGAGAACGACTGTCCTCAGCGGCGGTCTGAAAGCAACTCTCGATGGTCCACGAGTGACTGGTCACACACATGCACGTGCCCGGGGCTCAGAAGAGCGCCCTCGGCAGAAGCACTTGCTTGCGGCGGCTCAGAGATGGCGGCTCCGCTGGCGCCGCAGACGATGGCGAGCGAGGGTTGACCGCCACACATATACAAATAATATATTAGGTGTACAAATGAATAATCCAAATTATTTTAAGCAGTTATAAAATCAATTTTAAATTGAATAGATTTTCCCGCTCTTTTGTGATTATGCAATGTTGACATATAGCTATTAAAAAGAACATATAGTTTGGCGAAAGGCCCAACGTAACCTTCAAAAGCATTCAGTTCAGTACAGTCGAAAATGGCAACAGATAAGGTACATATCCGACACTGCATTCTTTACGAATTCTAACAAGGAAAAAATGCTGCAAGAGCGTGCGAATCGATTTATTCCTTTCTCGGCGAAGGTGTTGTATCGTACGATGTGTGCGCATTTTGGTTTAAGCGGTTTAAAAGCGGTAATTTCAGTCTAATCGACAAACAACGTCCTGGAGGCCTTCCGAAATGCGATAATGATAATTTGGAACAACTGCTCGCTGAGAATTCGGCACAAACACAAAAAGAGCTTGCAGAACAGTTGGGAGTAACGCAGCAAATGATTTCCAAACGCCTACATGAGATGGGAAAGATCCAGAAAGAAGGAAAATGGGTTCCGCATGAACTCACTGAAACCAGTAAAAATCAACGAGTGGCAGCGTCTTTCTCTTCTCAATAAGCAGCGTCGGAAGTCTTTCTTGTGGAAAATCGTTACGGGTGATGAGAAATGGATATTCTATGACAATCCGAAACGCAGAAAGTCATGGGTAAATGTCGACGAATCATCAAAATCGGTCGCAAATCCTAATCGCTTCGGAAAGAAGGTTCTTCTCTGCATTTGATAGGATATCAAGGGCGTGCTTTATTATGAGTTGTTGGAACTGGATGAAACAGTTACTGCGGACTGCTACCAACGTCAATTAATCTGCTTGAGTCAAGAATTGGAACGAAAACGCCCGTATACTGGCAAAGGAGAACGTCCAGTGAAATTGTTGGATGACAACGCCAGGCCACACATTGCTTCCAATACAAAAGGCACCATAATGAGTATTGGCTGGGACGTCTTGCAGCACCCGGCATATTCACTAGACATTGCTCCATCCGATTATCACTTGTTCCGGTCGATGCAACACGCCTTGTCCGATATGCACTTCCAATCAGTGGATGAGATCCGAAAATGGCTTGACGACTTTATCGTGTCCAAAGACGTAACATTTTTCCGAGATGGAATTCATTAGCTGCCTGAAAGATGGCTTAAAGTTATAGAAAGCAACGGCGAATACTTTGATTGAACAATTTAATTTACTTTCTTTTAAAATAAACCTTGAATGTAGCTGAAAAAATTGGATTATTCATTTGTACACCTAATATGTTTTGGTGTTATTGCAGAAGGACCGGTATACCAACATACACTCAACTTGTACAGTACGTGAATGAAAAGCAGCATTTGCCATTGGAATGTACTGTAAGACATATCTGTACGTATGTCTATTTTTTATTTGCTTTTTGCGAACTGACCGACTCCAACGTGATGTAAGAAAGTACTGTATATATCAACTAGTTGTAAGGATTCGAGTCTTTTAATAAATTCACTTCTGAATGTTTTGAAAACTGTATTTAATGATAATAAAGAATATTTGTATTATACTTACGCACTTATTACTAATAGACAAAACTATTCGCTTTGGGATCGACTATCGACAATTTCGCAGTGTCGTATAATGGCTACCGCTCTCCGAGCCTGACTACTGCGGCTCTTCCAATTTCGTCTGCTCTACCTCTATCTCGCTTTCCTTCTTCTCGACTTTCGGCTATCTCTCGACTATATGTATCTCTATATTCGGTATATCTCTATCTTTATCGCTTTCCCTAATTCTCGACTCTTCTTTCCTCACGACTCGGTAAATCTCTGTGTTCGGTACATACCCAGTAAGCAAAATGCTAGCAGAATACGCGCAGATTGATGCCAATTTCGATCACATCAAAACCATAGCTATTCGTGTCCTCATTAGGCTCGTGTTTTGTCGACAGGACCTGCGTGACAGGCCGTGCGAGCAGTTCGTCGGCAGAAACCGCGCAGGTCCTGCTGCAAAACTACGCGCAGAGTCTGCGCGCAGAGTTTGCTTGGTTTCTGCTACCAATCTGCCGTCAAATTACTGCGTCTTGCGCGGTTTTTGCTACAAATCTGTCGTCAAATATCCGATAGCAGGATCTGGCGCATATTTGACCGCAAATTGGTGGCATAATTTGATATAACAGATTCTGCGTTAAATTTGTTGCCTATTTGCCATCAAATTATGATAGCAGGCTTTGCTCAAAATCTGCTCGCACAGGTTTAGCTATCTGGGTAGACATAGTATCAGGTGTAGTAAAAAGAAATCCATTATTTTTACATGAAATTGAAGGCTTTAATTACCATAGTTAGAATGATCCGTTTTAGGTCAAATATGCGCCGTTTTGTTCGATAACTTGTTGCCATTTTGAAGGTAATTTCATTATGCCTCTCTCATAGAAGCCCTCATTCCTATTGGCAAAAAGTTGAGACAGTCGATTTTCACAAGCCTCTCTTGAAGCGAATTTTTCACCAGCAAAATTGTTCGCCATGGGCAGGAACAGATGGTAATCACTTGGTGCCAGGCCCGGACTATAAGGTGGATGCATAAGAACCTCCCAACCAAGCTCCCAGAGCTTCTGGCGAGTCACTATCGATGTGTGTGGCCTGGCGTTGTCCTGATGGAACACAATTCCTCTCCTATTGACCAAAGCTGGCCGCTTCTGGGCGATTGCTTCCTTCAGACGGTCCAATTATTGACAGTACAGTTCCGAGTTAAGAGTTTTGCCGTAGGGGAGCAGCTCATAGTAGATAATTCCCTGCCAATCCCACCAAACACACAGCAAAACGTTCCTGGCCGTTAATCCTGGCTTGGCCACCGTTTCCGCCGACTCACCGCGATTCGACCACGACCGTTTTCGCTTGACGTTGTCGTAAGTGATCCACTTTTCATCACCAGTGACTAACCGCTTCAGAAATGGGTCAATTTTGTTGCGATTCAGCAGCAATCGCAGATGGAAAT